GCTTCCAAGAAAGCTATTTTGTCCTTGTTCACTTTTTTTAATGAATTCAGCTTACATGAGAGAAGAAACGAAAATTCTAGTTGAAGAAATGTTTAATGGAAAAGTGCACATGTGTGAAAATATTCCTCAATAACCATGATGTGCGAGTTGGGAATTAGAATAAACTGATGAGAATTACAATGTCCGAAATTATTAGGTCAGAGATGTTTACAGTTATGCAAAAGAAGACAAATGTCTATCTCGTCTGAATTTGGACTGATTTATGAAAACTCTTGGGATTTCATAAGAGTGTCCAATATCCTACATCTATATTGGGTAGAAATCAAATTAGAACAATTTTTTTGAAATTCAATATTCTGATTTATTCACACGTTCTTGGTTTGTGCCTATTCGGGTCTCCATTTCTCACTTTATTCGGACAGAAAAATCAATAAATTAATATCAAAATCATATTAAAACATACACATCGGTTTTGAAACGACATAATAATCAACTATTAAGACACATCTCTTAACAAATTTCCAGTCTGTCTCATAAAACCGTATAACTCACAAGTACATAACAATATCTGACTGTAGACATTACTGAAACAGAAACAATTTCACTCAATAATGCTTTTATCACGTTTATTCTCATACGTTACATAATAAGCATAAAAATAAGGTAATATATGAACCTACTTTACATATAAATATTTGACTTTAATAATATATAGTGCACAACTTTCAAACATTGATGAATACTTTTTCATTAGATAACTTTAACGTGGATAAGAACATGTATCATACTATCTTCGTTAATATGCACAGTGATTTTGAGTCCACATGTCAAAGCCTGACTGCCGGGATCCATTAGGCTGGTTTCAACGATGTCAGAGAAAGTTTCATCAAATTAATATCCAAAAAATGAAAAAGAACTATTCAGAACAAACACCTATGAAATGGGACAATTAAATGATATTGCACAACAGTTATGAAGTAAAATAACAAAACCATTACTTCATTCATCACATTAATGCTTGATTTAAAATTAGTATAACAATTGTACCTACACAATGTCATCAGACGTACGCGTATGAAAAATAATGATTTAGATAGATTTCTTCAGTCCCAAAGTAAGGAAATATAAACCGAAAAACATGTATAACACAGTTTAGTTTTCCCGCACACATCAATCAACCGAATTGATTTAGGTACATCATAGTAGGACCTTCAGTTGCAATAATACGTTTGATATTAAAGATAAACTTGAGTTCTGGTAAAAAAAGAAAATGAATTCTCACAGAATCTAACGAAACTTACACTGAATGTTCAAGATTACAAATAAATGTCATGTGCCGAACAATTTTGGAAGAAAATGTATACTGGCTGAGTAATGAGCATAGAAAGATAAGGAAATCAGGGTAGTACTAGCCCCGACACCATGTGTGTTGTCCCATATACATCTTTCTGTGTAAGTGGTTGTTACTTTACCAAGACTCTGCCAAATTTATGATGATTTTGATGACTCCAGAACCTTGCATTACACACCATTACTTACATGCAATATGATCAACTTTTCTGATCCATTCCACACCTTTTCTTTCACAATGCAATCGCATTACCAGAACTCAAGTTTATCTTTAAGGAGAATAAAGATCGATATTTTCAATTTTGTTTTTGTGACTTTTATATTTGTACGTGCGATTTGCTCATATAAATTGCTCATACAGATTTGAAAACACTTCTACTTTGTATTTCATTTTCAGACTGACGCCAAGCATGCAATCTTCTAGAGTGACCAATTTATTTGATAAGATGGAAGACGAGATGACCTGCTTTAATACTGACCCCTCTGATCGGTCATTCGATGACCAAAGGCAATTCTCATATCGGATTCTAGAAAGCTTTTGGTTACATGTACATAGTGATGTTGTGTTTTGTTTTTTAAATAACTTTTTCACCGTTTGTTTGGTTTTATTTGAAATTTTATACTCATATCTCAAAAACACAATACTGATGTAAATAGAACAATATTTAAAAATTGCTAAAGTGATACATTATTTGAGTGTTGTATTAAATGGGTAAACAATAAGAAGAAAAAAACAATAGATTATGCTGCAAAAATTCGTTTGTTATACAATTCAGGAACTTAATGATATCTTTCTAAATGTTATTGTAATGTTATCATGAGACATTTATTATTGCTAGCAAGGTTGATTTCACAAGAAAAATATTGGCAAGGCGGGGAAAATCCCTCTCGACCGTTATCCCTGTGACTTGACATATATCTTCTCTCGAATGACCAAAGGACCTGCTTTTTACTGAAGTTGATATGGCAAACAATAATTCATTTTTTTTTTTTAATTCAAGGCAACGATACCTTTGAGTAAGTTCTTTTCAAGATATGGAGTTTTCATTGTGTCCTTGAACATTTTCTAATACTTGGTGAATATTGTAAGGAATAACATTGTATTCACACCCGACCATCTCAAACAAATAAACACACACACACACACACACGCACACCTTTTCCCTACAAAATGTAATGGTTAATAGCCAATCCAAGCGCCATTTCTGAATTCTGTAGGAATTGCAATAGTCTGTCCAAATATGAAACTAGCATGTAAATTGGATTCGGTGTCCATTGTGTTACATGCGTGTTTGTATGATTTCTACATTATATTAGGGGACAGTCGGTGACAATTTTGAATCTAATTTACTTTTGAATTTGAACAAGGACGCTGTATTTTGACAGCGTGTTGCCTTTCATCTCCATTTTCAAACACATATATGGCGCTCGTCGTAATAACATTTCGCAACACAACTCATGCCTTCTTTTGACGGTGACATAATCAAGAAAGAAAGACAGGGTTATTGTCTTCTTTAGATATCAGTGTTTCCCAGGGGATTCCGATGAGGCCGATCCCTACTTCTGTATGGAATACAATCCCCTCTCTGGCTAACGACCTCTAGCACTCTGCTTCCCATCCTTTCTTATTTGCAGTTGTTTATTATCTGTTTTAAAAAAATTCTTCTTTGGTACATTCCGCACAATTGACATGGTTGTGCATTAAATACAATAAAGAAGTAATGCTACATGCGCTTCGACATAACACAATGTTGTTTAAATATACGGTTTTATTTCGTAAACAATATTACCCTAAACCCAACATAATAATTAACATTTTTCTTTGAGCTTTCCAGTTAGAATATACATTGCGTCCCAGGAAAAAAATAACCCAGAACAAACGGATGTTGTGAAAAAACAATGAGCTGTATGAATATGATCACAGATCCCTTACTTTTCATGAATTAGAAGTAATATGCTTGCAATGGAACATTGATGATATTAATCGATACATGGTTCACCGAACTACATCGTTTTGAAAATGACATGGCAAAATCCATTTATGCCGAATTTGGGTGACACAGTGAACAAAGTTAAAGACGTTAGAATCGCACATAAAAAACCCTAACATGATGGATTCTTAAATAGTTTTCATCTTTTTCTTGTAATAACGACGACAATATAATTGGAATCATCATAAAAATTGAAATAAAGGATAGTGGAGAAATATTTTCGATGGTTAGGGTAAAGCTGTAAATGTTGCACTTAAATGGGTCTGCAATTGCCATGAAGAGTGATTTAAGCATTTATGATAACTGCAAACTTTTTCAAGATCAAGGCAGACCGTCTGGAAATATCTCCAAAATAATCAAAATAAAGGGGCACCTTACATTGATGATAGGGGAAGGTATGGTCCAATGGGCACATAAGCCAGAAAAAAATCATGATAATTTAAGGTCATTTTCATCTCATAATTGGCACCATTTTCAATCAGTACATGTGCACTTTTTCATCGACCGAGGGCTATTTATTGATTTTGGGAAAATATGAGCTTATACGTCCCTGTAATCCTGGAAATGGGTTAATTTTCCCTGTTTTATGCCTCAGTCACACCTTTGCGTATTGGGCTTGCGTATTGCTGCGTATTGCCCGAACGCAGACATAGGCAGTCATACCCAATACAGCGCAACGAAACGTGCTCACTGCGTACTCAATACGCAGTTTAGCGCAAAGACCTGCGTTTGCCGCTCGCTAGTTTTAAAATTTTCTAAACTATCGCAAGCAAACGCAAGGTCAAATCAGCTACGAGCGGATACGAGTGGCAACCAGTGGATGCGAGAAACAGCGAGTGGCTTAGCGCAAGTATACGCAACCATACGCACCTCTTTCTTTTTGGAGCGCGTGTCACTGCCTATAGCTGCGTTCCCTGCACGATTTACCTCGCCAGAGCTCGTTGTGGTTCGCATGATTGCGCGTATTGTTGCGGTATTGCTCGCCTACCACTCGCAGCAGGAAGAACCGTTGCACTTGCCGCTCGCTACGCTGCGAGTCTAGCTCGTACGCGGTTCGCTTTAGCTCGCTATCACTGTGATTAGTTGCCTAGCACCGACCACCGTCGCCGCGCTGCATAACGTTAATAAATAAACATCATTCGCCTCTGCTTCTTCCAGCTGAAGCAAAAGATTAAGCTTTTGCAAGGCAGAGCTCTGCTGCAGGGGCCATTTTTTTCATCACATTGATTTAGACTCGTCAGAAGCCCACCAAAATTACTTTTATGTATACGCCGTCGCAGCCCAAGCGAGCTAGCACTCATCAGTACGAAGAACAGACGAGCTAAAGCGAGCGAACACGCAGTGAGACGCAACAAGACCAACTGGTGCGAGCGGCTAGCGAGCAGCAAACGAGCAAAGAACCAGCTACATACGCAACGTGGCGAGCAAACTGCGTATTGAATCGTACTGCTATGAGCAATAGCGAGCTATAGCGTGGTCAAAGGCAACCGTAGGCAGTCTTTGTACGAGCGGCATACGAGTTACCTACGAGCTAGATACGCAATAGTGTGACTGCTACCTTCAAATTTGCCGCGAATTGCTGGGAACGGCTGCGTTTTGATATACCCCGTACAGCGCAGCAATACGCAGCAACATACGCAAAGGTGTGACTGAGGCATAAGGTAGTTGATTTAATTTAAATGCACATCGTCACACAATGGAAATCTTGGATAATCATCTTTTAAAGTTTACATTTCCCCAACGCTGTGTCCGCCTGTAACACTAAGGTTTTTACTGTGTGACATAAATGGATTTTGACATTTTAAAAACAATGTTGCTCGCTGAAATTCGTATGGATAAAAACAATCATAGTACTGATTGAAAGCATATTATTTCTACTTTATACAATTTATACAGCTAATACTTATCTCACAATGGCCGTTTATTTTCGGGATTAGCTTTTTCCCTGGAGCGCAAAATATTTGCGACGAAATAAATGGCCAGCAGTACATTGTATCTTGTCTCTCTATGAGTTCTGTTTACATTCTCAATATATCGGGCATAATTCTTCCTATGGCCCACTTTACCAATATTCTCCCTCAGTTTTTCATCAGTTTTTCATTTGATAACAACACGTGTACATCATCTTTCTGATCGAATTTGAAGAACCTCGTCACGTTGACATCGGTAAAAGGAAACATTGTCAAGAAAGCGAGCAATTGGATCCATTCGCCTCTGCTCTTTTATTCTCCTTGGCTCGAATTTGTTCTGAAGGATATAAAGATGACAAGAATATATAAAGAAAAACTTGAATAACACAAAATAGGCATAAGAATAGTAATAAAGGTAAATCGCGTAACACATAAAGTAGATATGGCATTCTGGGGTCGAGGACGTTCATTCGTTGTTGTAATAGTTCCATTGCCGGATAGGATGATAGTGAGAAATCAAAGAAACCAATTTGACAGTTTGTCGGTACCATCAGATCTGATTTGTCATTCCATTTTGACCTGGGTACATTATTTGTCCACAGTTTCTAAGAGCAGTGGTTAGCCCTTAACCAAGAGTCGGCACAATGTCTGTAGAGGTTGACATTCTACATGTTATATCGGTCTGTTCGTGGCCTTATTAACCGATATTGCGTATATATAGCGTGGCACAGTTTATGAAACCCACTTTTGTGGAGGAGCCAACGAAGTGTCGTTATTGATTTGGTGGTGTGATACACATATATAAAAGCAATCGAAACTTCGAAGTATCCATTACCTCACAAGCAGGGCAGCATATTTATTTGATTTAAAGTATTATGTCATAAAAAGTAGAAGAAGCTTTAGCATTGGGGTATCCCATAACGTGGTCAATCGACCCAGCTAAAGCTGTGATTAATTTGTTTCTTTACCGTTAACAGCGATCCTCGGACTGACATTTCTAGAGCGATGGTCTCAATTTATTTATTTTCAACGTGACATAGCATACAGTGTCTTCGTAATTTATACACATTTGATAAGTACGTATCAACAAAAATGTTTCGCCTTATCCAACTTATGTGTGTACATTCGGGCGAAGTTACAATTCATTATTCATGGTTAAAAAAGGTACCTGTATGTGCTTTTCACTTATACCTTACTTGCGTCATTCCCATCTCGGATGACTGAGATTCTTCATTTAAATCCTGCAAAATATCTATCTCGCTAAGTTTTTGTTTATGTATACATGCATGTAGGGCTATACAGGATTTACTGGCATGTGATGTTAAGAATTCATTATAGAAATATAAGAACGCATGGAAACGTGCCGTTTCTCCGGTGTGTTTTCTTCGAGGAACAGCGTTATCTATCAGTGCTTGGGTACTTGAAATATATCTTAAGTCTTGTAAGCTTTATATTGCTAATTATTTGAATCAGTAATAAATAGACTTTCATTACAGGAAAGTTGTCAACTTTTATCTACTTTTCTTTCAAGTTTTTCATGTTTAAACTGTTGTTTGTAAACTTATCTCTTATCATCTTCATAATTTCACAGTTTCCTTTGACGCAGTGAGCATTAATCAACTGATATATGGACAATAATTTTGGCTTTCCTAGCTGCCATCATCATAACCATAATATAATGCAAATAAGGGATCCGGTAACTTTGTCTTAGATCCTTTAAAAAATGATTTAGCTCATGCTGCAATGATAATTATAAACCTTTAGGTCAGTCAGGAACCCCATGACTTTTACAAGCCGATCGCCTGTCTGATTATAAAGATATTTATGATTGAAAATCGAAATTAAATTTTGCGTTTGCTAAACGGTTTTCATAACACTAAAGTCTATTGGGGATAACGAGTATTGTAAAACCGGTCACTCAAAGGTTTTTACTTTTTGAGGCACTCCTTGATCATTTTGAAGCACAATTTGTGTAGGGCTTCAATATAACACCATATAACAGACACCGACAACACGTTGGACCGTGCATCTCAGAGTTAACATTGTTAAACGATCCCTTTAAGTTGACTTCATTGCAAATCTTGGCAAAAGGACCAGAAGATAAAACTAAGAGCCGATTATGAATACAACCTTTAAACAAAATAGGCCGTCTAAGTTGGTCACATTTATCAGAACGCATTATACAGCAAGAGTTGTGAAAAAATATTATTATTCATGATTTTCGGTAAGCGTGGGATAACCACT